ATCCATCCATCGAGAGCTTTACACCATCCAATTCAAGCGCCACTATCACACCATGCTATTAAAGCACCACCATCATGCCATCGGATTCGAAGACCACCTTCACCCTTCGTCACGCTTTCGGGGGTAAGCTCTAAGCCCTCATTCCCGACCGCCTAAACCCTAAATCGTAGACCCTCGACCTCTAAACCTTCTATGAGGCCTGGAGACGCAGACAAGTGGAGTCCAGGTCTTGGCGAAGTCGGAGGAGGTGCGGTCTGAGCCTGGCAGAAAACGACATGGGGTCATTTGAAATTTCATGAGGTCTCCTCAAGGGCCCGTGAGGGGGACAAGTAGTTGACACATCATTGAATCATCGCTTGAGAGTGGAAAAAAGAGCAGGTGTTCGGGAGTCTGGGGTTGCAGGACTTTAGGTTTATGGACCTAGCCTTCATAGTTTGGATGAGGCCTGAGGGAAGAAAACTGTTTCGAGAACCAGTCAAGGCCTAATCCATAACTCCAGACCATAAGCCGTAAAGGAGTTTTTGCTTCATTCTTCGCCTCATTCTTTGCCAGCAGCCGCCCCCGGTACATCCGAGTTCATGTACACGACCGCAGTCTGACATGTTCAGGTTCCGAACGGGGAGTTTCTCCAACTTATTGGACCGCGTTTGGCGATCATAGTATTTTGTTGCCGGGGAGAAATGCATGATAAGAACATTTTTGGTGCGACCGGCCGTCACCGCGGCTACCGTCCGAATCTGTATGGCCTCAATGCCTCCAGCCTCTCCTGCTGAACCCTGGCAAGCCGGTACTGCGCTGGGTCCTTGTTGTACTATGGCCAATACATGCCAATACTGTCTAGGGCATCCTCAAGCAGGACGGCAATTTTGACTAACCCCCACACACTACCTAATCATATAGCCAAGTCCCCGGACCCTAAACGCTCTACACGCCCTGGTGCTAAAGCCTTGATCTACAAGTGTTGACCACAGTTCTGAAGCCTGAAGACATATTCCCCCCCATTTACCAACGCAGGACAAAAAGATACAACATCTTGTGTTCGTGAGCGCAGTTTAGCTGCGGTGTCAGGACAGGCCCTACTTTTTGGAGACTGACCTTGGCCACGGGGTTGGGTGCAAGAATAATTGGCAACCGTTACAGCCTCTCAGACGCTACGGTGGCAACCTTAGGTGCAGCGACCCTAGAGAGGGAAAGATCATCTGCTCCAAGTGTGCCATTCCTCTGTAAATTTCCCATGCCAGTCAGAGCAAGCTGGCCTTTGGCATTACAGTGTGATCTCACTTGACCCCACTTGAATTGCCGCAAAATGTAGAAACCCTCAATGCATACTGATGCCTACAACCCTCAGCTGCATAATACTCAACCCTGAAGAACCAAAAGCCTTTACCCATACCCTAGCAGGCGGCAGCCCACTTCTACAGCTGCCGCCGCAAGGGCAAAGTGCGCATGGAGTACGTGGTGCTGGTTGAGGTGCCGCTTCCAATCGAGGGTTTCGCGTTTCAGGGTTTGTTTTAATGCCACGAAATCTGGCTTGCGCCGCATAACCATCTAATCACTCGAATAATTGGTCTCGAGGAAAAATCGCCATCCAAGCAGCGTGTATTTCTGGGCGACGGGATCTAGAATCTAGTCATGTCTGTGTCCTCGAACTTACGCTTCCCTTCTGACGGCCCTGTACTAAGCACGATGCGACCATGCATTGCTTCCTATTGACCAGATGGTTGTCATTCGCCCGGGATTAGTCATTAACGTCTAGATTTATACAGTTGTGTACTTCCAAACGGTCCCCCTTCTGCAATCCCAAATAAAATGCTTGGTACAGGAATCCCTAATTTGTTGAATGGCCACTTCCACTTTCTGGCTGGTATGGTAGAATGTTGGCCATGTGCAAAAGGTGCCATGGTGCTGAAACGTCCGAAACATTTGCATTCCTGAGATGCAAGCAGCCCTCGATGTGTTGAAAACTCGGTTTGTATAGGCTTGAAGCGACGAGTGCAGCCTCATGATAACATAAGTGGCACATGTAGAATCGAGGGTGGACTTCAGCGGAAACGGTGGAAACGCCTGCCATACCCAAAGTGAAAGCCGCATAGCTTAAGCCCTACTTGGTTATGGACCGGGTCTTTCCTCACAGTTTGGCAGCACATGAGGGCATGGGCCTGGCATCCCTCAGTCGGATATCTCTGAAAATGGTTTTTCCTCAGCTGCAACCTATTTGTATGTGAGGACTACTAGGCCACTAGGCGATTCCAGGGATTCGGCTCGAGTATTCTGCAGGGTTTTGTACGAATTGACCTATCAAATCAGACTATTCGTACATTCCATCGCCCCGTGCTCAGCATCAGGAAGCCATGTTTACGGCATGAGCAGCTCTTGCTCTGCTCTAAAGTAGGTCATCTGAAAAGGCGATAGGGTTGTGCAGAGAAATGCAATGCTTTCTTGGGTGCAAAGACTTGGAACCTACCCATGTAGCCTTGCGTAGCATTGCGTAGTCTTGCGTAGCCTTGCATGGAGCATGCTCGTAAGCTACTTCGGCGCTCGATACCTGGCTCTGCATGTTCTGCTCCGCAGGCATTTGCAAAACAAGGGTTACCATTCCAAGCTTCTTTACGCTTCCGTGTTCTTGCCCTGCTTCGCGACTCCGCAGCATGGAAAGGTACCATAAATTGGATTGAGGCTCTCTAACGATGCATCAGCCAATGGTGTGATAAGGCTTAGGCTGCTCGACAACCGCCGCAAACCTCTCATGTCTGAAAAGCTCTAGCCCGAACTCCTCAAACCCAAGCCTCCCAGCCCTGAATTTAGGGCTCTCCTAAGCAGTAGTCCTGATCGACCCCTAGATTGCGGCCGCAAGCCCCTACACAGTCCTGACACCGCTGACTCATCGTCAGTCCAATCCCCATGTTTTCGTTTCTCAAGACCATCTATTCCCCAAATGTAAATTCCAGGCCCTAAATGCGACAGCTTTTCAAAGGAAGGATCCGCTTTATGTTAATCTCAGCCCAAAGCCCTTAGTGTGCAGGCTGAAGTTTCTCTGGCAGTGTGTGGGGTTGGGCTTGAAAGGTCGTTTGTGCATGATGTTGGAGGTGAGCAAGGCCATGGCACACAATGGTATCATTCTTGAGTTTCGTGATTTGCCTGTACCCCCAGCCGACAACCTGAAGAGATTTACCTTTCATCTCTACAGTGTCCGGCCTCAAGTCCTATCCACGTTTTCAGTAGTATTTGGATCATCCACGGGTGGGCTTTCCAGAAGAGGGGTAAGACTGCAAAAATGTGCTACCCCACCCTAAACCCAAAATCCACTATCAACCTTAGCCTTAGACCCTAAACCCCCCACCTGAAGCGGACCCCCTGTTGAGAAGCAGACAAGGCAATGGCAGCCTTCGCGGTGAGCTATGCGGTGTCGCCTAGCGCATCCCAGGACCGCTATTTGTACTTCAGTTTAGGGTGTAGCGGGGATGGTCAGTTAAAAGTGGGTTTAGAAGCAGAAAAAATTCGACTATAACTGAACTACAGCCGAACTTGGGGACCTGTAACCCGGTTTTTGGCTACCGATGAACTTATGGCAAACTCCTTTATATGTATACATGTGTACATATGTATGTATTTTGTATATGTATGTGTATATATGTATTTTTATATATGTATATATGTATATATGTATATATATATATGTATATATATATATGTGTATATATATATATACACATGTATCTATTTTCCCTCAAAGCCGCCATCCTAGTAACTGTCGTCACTGTTTGCCCCTCACGCTTTTGTCGCTTGTCAGTACTAACAGCCACAGGTATTGGGGTGGTCCGCATCTGTTTTCTAGAAAACCATGAACTTTTTGTAAACCTTCATGAAACCTTGTATGTTTTTTTTGGTAAATCTTCTATACACACAAGACCTTCTATAAGCCATCCAGAAACAAGACCAGACTACAGGCCACTGGACTAGGGTTGGGGGTAATCGGCTATAAACCCTCTAGAAACGGTATTGCCCCTCTATGTTTAAACCACAAGGCCAAGACTTCAGGCCACAGGACCACAGGGGCTGTGGGGGTAATAGGTTTCCGCACACGGATCATATTTGCCGTTGGCTGCAAGGTTCAGGGACCGTGTGTTGTTTTTTTTGGGTGTCTGGTTCAACTGGCCATATGTCAAAGCCGTAGACATCCCAGATTTCGTTTAGGGCTGGGCACGTGGAATGCAATAGACAGAAATTCGATTCGCGTGTATGGGGCTTGCATTTTGAGTTTAGGTTTAGGTCTTGACGCAGTAGATAAGGTTCATAATTCGCTCGTATATGTTTGGGTTGAAACATAGCTAGGGGCTTGCCGTTTGAAAGCATCACGACATTTTTTTCCTCCAGATTTATGTGGTGGTTTCCCAAAGCCATCCGTGTGAATTCGTGATAGGGACCACCTGATCCCTTTGATGTTCTTACATGCATAAGGTCCTCAAGGGGCCCTATTTTGAGAAGCACCAAGGCAGCTATGGAGCAAGTTTTAGACCCTCTCAGTTACTAAAGGCCCAACATCTTCACAATCTGCTCTTCTGTATGTATTGCTAGGCCTCAGTTCCGGAAATTGCAAGAGCGTTGCTCCTATAGACTCCCGGACCAAACAACTCTGGTCCTGCACCCTAAACCATAAACTCCAAAGCCCTAAACCTGTGTCCCAAACCTTAATCGCTGTTTCCTGAAGGCCTTGCGCGGAAGCCCCGCAGCACGCAACCCGACTTCGAGCATCCCAGAGACACCGTCCACATCTTCTGGGATGCTGGGCCGGGATTTTGGGCTTCGGGCTTGGAATTTGAGTGAAGGGTTTACAGATTCGCAGTTGGAGTTTGGAGGGCCTAGGATCTGGGTTGTGTGTTTGGGGTTCAAGGCCTAACCTTGAAGCTGCAAACCTGAAAAACACCCTGACCCCCCCCGGTAACCCTTTAGCACTCAACCCCAAACCTTAAACCTTAAAGCCTAAAGTAGGAAACCAAAGGATGGGTGTCGCTGCTGTGGGTGCTGGGACTCTCTGCGCTTTGGCGATGTCGGCCAAGAGATCCCGTGCTGCGAGGCCGTGGAAATTTCAGAGCTGGAGTTTCCTGGGGTCTTAGAGTTTGGGGTTTCGGGGTGTAGAGTTTATTCCTTGTTTTTTGGTTGGGGCGGGGTTGTGGGGTTTGTGATTTTAGGGTTCAGGTTTACTACGTGGTGCTCAGTAGGGAATGAGGGAAGGGATCCGTAAAGTAGCCCGTGTACATTTCCGAAGACTTCAGCAGTCTCTACCAGGCACTAGATTTATGTTGGTAGCGTCAGGTTGGGGGTTGCAGGGATTGTGAAGGTTTACATTCCCTGGGGTTAGGGTTGGGTTGGCGTGTATGTGGGTCTACGGCTCGGGTCCGGGGATTGCGGGCTTGTGCGCCTTCCGGAATGGCTTGAGGTTTACAGATCCGGGAAGTAGCACTTTCTGGTATAAAGGTCGGATGGATTAGGGTTTCGCACTGAAGCATCGAGGTTCAGGGGCTAGGGCAGACAGACCAGTTGTCAGTCAAGGTGTTACTGGCCTCGGGATTTCGGGTGAGCTTTGGGCTGCATGCAGGAGGGTGTTCAGTCTCTGTCTTGAAGCTTAATTCTGCTCTTTGGAATTCAGATTCGGGTGCAGGGTTCACCATAGACTGTACTCGCAAACAAAACAATGTGGATGGAGGCTGCAAGCATGCAGAAAGTTTGAAGCAGGCAATGCTAAGTGCGGCAGCGTGACGGTTCACAGGCCATATGCGCTCTGTCTTGCAGCCTGGACGGTGCGCCGTAGATTTTGGCTTATCGTGCGAACCCCCCAAGTTGATCTCCGGTATTGAATGCTCGTGTACCCCTAGAAACTTAAAATAGGCAGAACGCACACGGCATATCTGGAGAATGCCCTGGATGTCCACACCTTCAAACCTGAACCCTGAATACTCATACCCCAAACCCTGAGCGCTATAGCATTTTAAGCCATCAAGCCCGAACCACCTTGCTTCTAGGCCACTCCGTGCGCGTGGCGGTGATGTGGTGGAGACGCTGCCGACCACGGAGATCAACTACTACAAGCTAGACAGCCGGGATCTTAAGGGCTTAGTTTCCTTTCTTATAGTTTAGAATTTTTTGAGGTGCTGGATTGAGGCTCAGCTGGTTTGATAAGTAGTGCTACAAGCTGAACAGCCGGGATCTTTTTAGGACTGTTCAGGGCTCGGCTTCCGCCAGTTCTGGGCTCAGAGGAAGTATCAACATCTGAGCTGCGCTGATCACTCGAGGACATTCAAGCATGATTTTGCTTATGCATTTTCTGCTGATGCTGTTGTGATCCTTTTTTTCACGGCTTGCAGGGTTAAGGATGGACATTGAGGGCTTTGGGAAGAGAAGTTTGTAAGGTCGGGGCCCCAATCATACTTATATGGAGTTGATTGCAGCTTGTTCATCCATGTTTTGTATACTTGAGTTGGCTTGCGGACTTGTGCGAGTACAACGTTCATGGTGGAGTTTAGAGCCCGGGACAAGATGTCTAAGGCACCGTGGAGGCTCCCAAGGCGTTTCAGGATGCCTGAATTCCTAACAGAATCTAGGTTGTTGCCCGAAGCCTGTGCTTGCAGCAACTTCTTGAATTAACCCTTACCCTCGGAATACCACACCCTTTCTTTGAGACTTGTGTCTCGCTAATGACTTGGCTACATAGCGTTCCAGTAACGCAGTGCTTGCAAGCCTTTACAATCGTTTGAGCAGAGAGCTTCCGGCCCGCAGAGGGTCATTGTACAAATTTATTCTGCAAAGTTCTCGTGGTTTTCATTTTGAACCTTGATATTGTCATGATGAGATTAGTGTTCGTGCCCGTCCAACAAGCATTATCGTGTGGAGTGAGTATAATGGTAGCGGGTCTCCAATTTCCCACTAGGCAGGAGCTATATGGACCTGATGAGCTGAGGCATCAACACCACCCAGATTCTGGCATCTATGCGCGGGGCCCTGAAGGCCAATGAGGGCAGCTTTACGCCCTAAAACCGCAAACGCTAAATCCCAATCTCTAAACCATAGGAACTCTAAACCTAGACCCTGCGCCCTCATACCCAAAACCTATACCCTAAGCTTGAAGGCGATGAGGGCAATTTTCGATTCCGAGAAGCCCGCTGAGGTGAAACCTCATGCAGGGAGGGGGATCTCGTAGGGCTGGATGCACCGGGGTATGGTTAGAAGGGTATGTAGGGATGCTCGGGGTTGAGGAGTCACACCATTTGGATTTGGGGCAAGGTTTCCATTGTTTTGCTCAGTGTAAAGAGGGTTTCGTGTTTTTTGGTGCATTCGCACATTTTGGCAGGAAAAGGTAGGCCGTTCTGACTCTTTTCAAATCGAGTTGTGGTTCCGAAGCTGTTGGTGGCGGGCTGCAGGGGCGGGCAGGAAATTTTGGGGTCAAGGGCTTCCGAAGTTCGGGTTTGGCGCAGTGAGATCGAAGTTTGTGTTTCGAGCTCGGCGTTTTTTAGCTGCAAGCACCGCGCCCACAAGTGTAGACAGTACAGCTTTTCGTCAGCAACAGACATGGTCTCACCAGCCACTAGAGTGCGCATATCCTTAGTGTGACCCGTATTCAATCTACTCCAGAATGACTACAACAAAGAAGTCGGCGGCCTAGCACGCGTGAATTTACCCTTCATCTAAACTGTCCTTATCCTAGCGGCGGGCATGGGGAAGGGGTCAGTGAGCACTGGGTGAGCTTCTCCATTTCTTGGTACCCGTGCAGGTGCAGAAGCACAATTTGACATCCAACCGCCCAAAGGCTTTCTTAGCTGTGGAATGTCACAAGCCATGTCGCCAGGAGCAGATGAAGGACGCCCTGTGCGATCAGGATGTCCGCTTCGCGCTGGTCTCGCTCTCCAGGTTTCTTGTGGCACCTAGACACCTGCACAGATCCACTGATGTAGCACACTTTTACTGAACACACCGCGCTATCGACGGGTAGTGTACTGGGGCCTTCAAGATGGCTTCATAGAGTAACGTTACCGTCCGAAAAAGTTGAGCTCGCTTAACTGGGTTCACATCAGAGCCTTCTCAGTGAGCTTGTCAAGCGTTGGTGGATGTATATGGTTCCAGGAGTACCAATCCCGATACCCTAAATTGTGCCCCTGAACCCTTCAGTCATGACCAGATCTCAACTGCCCAAGTCAATCTTGAACTTGGATTTTCCGTCAGGCTTCCGGTCTTCTCTCACGAATTCGGTCTTGCCTTCAAGGAGACCAGGGTCTAGGGTTCTTCCTTGTGTTCTGTATGGGCTAGTGCAGGGGTTTGCTTCAGTTTGGGATTTCGCAAGGTTGTGTTTTTTTTGCATGTGGGTGAAGGAAAGCAACCTGAACAGCGAGGGAAGCCGTTATGAATGGTATCTTGTGTGGGGGAGTTTTGGAGGTTTTGGGTGGGCAGTCGTGATTTGCATGGCCTGGGCGGGGGACGGCCCAGCATCATCAGCTTCTATGTCTCTTTTTCTCCTCGCCTCTTCTTTTTCTTGGACACGGACCGGTGGTTTTCTGGCAGCTGGGCTTGGGCGACCCAGCATCATCAGCATCATCGCGCGGTTTTTGCGCGTTTTTGTTGAAGCTTCCCCCATCTTGTGGTGCTTTTATGGTGTCTCCAGCAGCTCACCCAAAACGTATCATAGGCAGCATTTTGGGCGCCTGCCACCTGTTCACAGGCCGTTTTTGTGCGCGTTTCCCTCACGTCGTGCTGTGTTTATGGGGCCTCGGGCATTCGGAATGTAGCACAACCACAGTAACCAGAGTGGACCACACGGAAAGCGCGCCCCAGCAGGAGCATACTTTTTTTCCCTGCCCTCCCCCAAGCCTCCCCCCCCCACACAAGATACCATGATAATGGCTTCGCTTGCTGTTCGTTTGCAGGGGGCATAGTACCCAAACAATTACAACGAATATTCCTGTGCAATCCTTACATGATTCTTGCTTTAAACTGCCCAAGTCCACTTTTACTCATTCAGGATTCAGGTGTATTGTATTTGCGGTGGCAGCATGAATTACCTGGTAAAATCCAGCACAGCGTAGGGGGAAGCCTCAAAAACGCGCAAAAATCGGCCTGTGATCGGGTGGGGGGGGCGCCCAAAATGCTGCCACTTCTCTGCAGCATAGAGGAGACGGAGTTTGCCTGGATTCAATGCAATGCGTTTGTGCGCGGTTCCGCTTGCAATACAGGCTCTTTTATGAGTTTTGCAAATTCTTAAATTTACGGCAAACTACTAAAACAGATGCTTCATGGATCCGTCAGAACACACTTGGTCGCACGCGTTGCTTAGTGTGAGCTGGAGGCGTTTTGATCGCCCTTGTGATTTGCTGAAATTTGTGCTGGCCAGTTGTGCTTGGCTCTGGGCTTTATGTCTGCAGACGTTCGAGGGTCATGCGAAAGGCTGCAAGTCCTTGTAGGACTCATCCAAAAGCTTTAAGTCAACGAACGCTCTTAGGAGCCCTCGAATCCGCATCATGGGCTGTTAAACGCATGTGCACAGCACTGTTAAGAGGCTTTGGTGCGAAGCCTAAATAAGTTGCAAAATTCTCCATGTAACTAATATTCTTGTTTATCATCTACTGCACCCTAGGACCCTACTCTGATCAACCAGCCCTGGCAGTATCCTGCAGACTACTTGCTTTGTGCGCGCAATTTGGCACGCCCCGAAGCCTACTCCGCAAGCCAAGATTTTAAGATGCAGCGCCCAGGTCCTGCCATCCTTGCACCTAGGAGATCCTAGCAGGGTTTTGGAGCCCATATTGGAGAACAGTGGAGAACAGGATCTCCAACATCATTGATGACGCCCCGCTTGGTACAAAGTCAAACAGTGCAGGCTCCCCCAAACCCTCTTCAGGACGATCTTGACCTGCTGCACACCTTAAAGCAGCTGAAGTACTTCTGGAATCTGCCGCAGAGCCTCTCGCCCTGCTAGTTGTTAGGGCTTGATTTGGGATTTGGAGCTCCTAGAGTAAACCTCAGGTGTTGGACTTGGGAAATTTGTCTTAACCAGACACCAAGTCCTTCGCTTAGAGCCGTGGACTCCTGACTTTTCTTTGAGAGCAGTGTCATTGACTGCGCTCCAGCAAAGAGACACCCGGGGCATACGTAACGCAAAGCACGTGTGAGAAGAACGAAGAACCAAATCGCGAAAAAGTACTCCCAAACTGCATTCCTGCACTGCAAGGCGCGCGTTTTTTCGTCGTATCAAGTTCTTGTGAGATAGTGCTTAAAACATGCTGTTTGCCTTGAGATGGCACCCAGAATCGTAGTTGTGCACAATACTCCAAAGTAGGCCACGGGTCCATCAGGGGCCTGAAGGTGTAAACCTGAAGCCCTCAGCCCTGCGTAGTTCAGCCTAAGCCCTAAATACTCACCTATACACCCACATCGTCCCTATCAGGAAGGTTGCAACCTAGTGGTTCTCAGTAGGGGATAAGGGAATATATTATATAGAGATTAATTTCCTTATTCCCTACTAAGAACCAGCAAGTAAACCCTACGCGCCATAGACAGGCCAGCTGGCCATCCTCATGGAGAACCTGGCTCGGCGCTTGGATGCTGCGTCAGCCGCGGACTTCAGCATCTTTACCGCTGCTCTGGCTCTGAATCGAATTCTTTTTGGGGGGTCATCAGTTAACTAGAAATACTGAATACTAGTTAACCATGTTCATGATCATGAACTAGTAATTTGTTCAGGATTAATATTAGCAATACTCTTGCTGTTGTTATAGGTTTGATCCCGGATTGCTAGCATCATTCGTCTTGTGACCATTGTTATTGTTATTGCGCTGCTTTTGCTTTTAGTATTCATATGGTTATCATTATGGTTAGCATTATTGCTATTGTTATTGTTGATATGCAGGAGCTACCCTGCAGTAACCTCCCCCCACGAAGTTTCCCTCAAAAGGGTCACTTTTTTGGGGTACTCATAAGGATTCTCGCGCACTGGGGTACATCATGTGTGTTCCCATTGTCTTGAAACTCCCATATTTTCAAGGGACTCTGATCATCCCGTGGAAATTTTCGAAAGGCCCTTGAAGTCCTGAATGTCAGGATCCACGTTCCCCAAACAAAGATGGAAGCAAGCTGATATAGCCCCTTTCTAAAGGACCCTAGTCTTCGGAAGGTCCTTTTCGGGCTTGCATGTTCGTTCAGGGGAGGAATGTTTTGAAGACAGCCTGCAGCACGACGCTTTTGAGGGTCAAGGCTTTTGGATTTGACAATTTCTGGGGTTTGGGACTTTCAGGCTTTGGATATTTCTTGAGGATGTTCGGGGGTTTCGGAGGATTCGGGTTGATGTTTGCACCTCCTTGGCGTGATGCTAGCTTTGGAAAGGTAAAGGGGATGCTAATATTCAGCCAACAGCATGCAGGCTCATCCTGATCAAGATAAACCTGTACGATTCCAATCTTTTCCCTGCCTGTACTTTTGAAACAAGCGTTGTTAATCCCAAAGTCCTACACATGTTGCGTCACGGGTGGAATTTGCTCAAGCCCGCAGATCGGCACAATTATGTGCATATATGCATCTGGTGGAAGACAGTTCGGCAAACCGCATTGCACTCCACGAAGAATCTTCCAGCAGCGAGTCTTCCTTCAGTCATTCCCTTGAGGCCATAGCCCAAGGCCTCGACCTTCAACCGGAACTCTTAACCAAGCCGAAATCCTGAACCCTCCGCCCCATTTCCAAGACTAGCTGTTAGCTGTTTTCGGAGCTAGACTTGCAGTGGCGATCCTGCAGCTCAAGATTCAGGGTTCCCCCCAAAGCCATATTTCCAGCCATAGACCCCAGTGGCTACGCTTGGAGGCAGGGTTTACTTGAGGGTTGGGGGTAGTTCCAAGTGAGATTAGATTAGACTGAGCCTGAGATCTTAGGCCCCGCGCCACACAAATCCTCCAGGCTCAGCCAAGAAGTTCAATCCTCTGGCCAACTTAGGAGAAGCTCTGCCAATCTTCTGCACATCTCCTCGCTATTAAGGAGGCAGGCTATGAGGGGGCTGCTGAGGGCTTGAGGGTGGCTTGTGGGGACTACCTCGGTTTTTACAGGTTTGATATAGAATTTTGGAAAGAACATGGTGCGTGTTGAGAGAATGAGGAGGTGCGGAGGTTGTGTGGGGTTCGCAAAGTGTAGGTGTCGGTAGCATGTAAAGTGTTGCCAGCAGGCTAACAGATTTTATAATGCCAAGTCGGGAGAGATCATCCAACAGCAGTGCAGCAGAGGTGAGCAAGGAACTGCCAGAGGACGTCCATGCAGAGTGCCTGGGCTGATTGTTGTTGAGTCCCTTTGATTTTGCGGAGCTGTTTCGTTCTCCATCGACGGACCCTTGATACAAAGGCAGCAATGCGTAATTCAGGTACATGAAGAATGCTGCCTACTTGGAGGATGCCGACGCGCATGCGGTCTATCCTACTTCCATCTACCGGCAGTGCGACGCCTTGACCTTGGCAACTCAGGACGCATCCACCATTGAGGCGGTGATGAGCACGACCATCACCACGACAATCAAGATCGCCCGCAAGGTCCTTGATCCCTCCAACCACCTGCTCTTCGACGTCTACAAGCCGTTGGGCCGCTGTGTGGCTGTTGTGGACGATAAGGTTGACGAGCACTATGGCGCTGAGATCGACAACTACTTTGCCACCCACGGCATCGAGTTCACCAAGCTCGTCTTCAGTGGCAACGAGGTGGACAAGGGCATCGAGGACGTTGAAAGGATTTTGGTGGCCATGTAGCTTGGTCATCATGTCTCAGTACTTTTGCAGCTGTGTGGACGCCTCAACTCAACCAGGAACACAAGCAATGCTGTTCACACCAAATGTCAACACTGGCCCAGGAAGAAGTATTCCGTAGGCCGCCACGAGCCTCTGCTGGTGATCGGCGGAGGTGTGATCGCAGACATTGCGGGCTTTGCCACCTCTCTGTCCTTCGATTGTTGTTGAAGTAGTCATTTGCATGGTCTCATGCACTTCTGTTTTGCTTCGGGGCAGGAGCGCTTTGTAATTGTCGGGTGGAAGAGATTCAGAGGTGCCAGGATGAACAGTTCAGACCTAGACCAAAGAGCACAACATGACCCCTCGTGGTGTGTAGAGTCTCCATTCTCTACTGCATGACATCAAACATGCTCGAACACCCTCCTGCTTTGGGCAGTATCTAACGTATCGCGCAGAGCTGAGGTACTCCCGGAACACACCGTACGTGATGCTTTGCACCTCCATTGTCTCGGGCATTGATGCCGGCCCGTCTCCACGCGTTTGCTGCAATGGCTACGACTACAAGAACCTCTACGGCCACCTAGCAATGTGATGATCGGGTTTACCGCAGTGCATACTTGCTCCAACCCAAGGTCCTAAGGTCCTGACTTAGATGGGCCCAAAGGTTCCTTACAAGTTTTTCCCAGCTGCCGCAAGATGCCTTTCTCACGCGGACTTCAAGGCCCTTCGAGAGTCAAATGACCGTTTTGTTTTGGAAAGCCGCGCAGCTGTAGCCTACTGGGTGGTCTTAGCCAGGGATTTCCTCGCATGTCATACCTCGCTAGTTGTAAGCAGCCGGCCACTTTGTTCCTGCCACACCTGTGAAGCCCTGTGTATGCAAATAACAGTAGATGCAGTACAGACGCTGAACACCAGGTTCCTACCATCCGCCAGTGCTCACCATCACCGACCGTGGTTTCTGGAAGACCCTTCATCCTGGCTGGCTCCGCCACGGAGTGGCAGAGATCATCAAGATGGCTGTTATGAAGGACCTCCCAGCGTCTGGTTTCGGTTTTAGGGTTGCGGCGCTCAGAGTTTGAGTTTAAGGGGTGAGTTTAGGTGTGCGGCTGGGTTGCGGGCTTTGGGTCAAGATGGCTGACCCCTCATCGATGAGGGATTTACCACAAATTGTACAATCTCGGGCTTTGGGCTTACGGGTTTGGGTGTTGGAGATGCGTCTGCATGACACGTTCGGACAAAGTCTGGGGTGTTCTGAAATACAGGGCCCATGCCCACAGGAGTACTCGGAATAGTGGAAACAAGAAGGATCTTCGTCGATACTGGTGGTGGTGGTGGTGGTGGTGGTGGTGGTGGTGGTGGTGGTGGTGGTGGTGGCGGCGGCGGTGGTGCTGGTGGTGGTGGTGCTGGTGGTGGTGGTGGTCGTAGTGGTGGTCGTCGTGGCGGTGGCGGCGGTGGCGGTGGTGGTGCTGCTGCAGGTGCTGCAGGTGCTGCAGGTGCTGCAGCTGCTGCAGGTGCTGCTGCTGCTGCTTCTGCTGCTGGCGGCGGCGGCGGCGGCCAGAACCACAAGAAGAAGAAGAAGAAGAATCCCTGCACGAACTGTGAGAACGGAAGGCATATAACTATATATAAATATATGGACAAAAGAGAAAAAAGAGTTGTAGCTGCAACCGTAGACTAGTACTGGTAATTAGTGTTCATCGTCTTAGCAGCAGGGCAACTCGTAGCCTCAGCACGAAAATGGTTGTGACCCAACTATGGAGTCAGAAAACCCACCACGTCTCTGATCTTCCCCTGGAAAAGTACAGCATAAACCAACCCCAAACCTAAATCCTGATCCTATAGTGACTTAGGATGTAAGCCTAAGTTCCGCTCTAAGATAACTGACTTTGAAGGACCTGACCCTCTTTGAGCTTTTGGAGAAACACGGTGTGCGGGCTGTGCAAACCAAGTTCGGCACGGAGGGTGATAGCGTGGATGACGCCGAGTTTCAGGATGTTTGCGACCTGATTGTCGGCAAGGCCATGGAGGGCTACGTCCGCTCCGAGTACGGCAACCTTTGGGAGACCCACCAGTGCCGACCACATGCATATGGGCACACTTGGTGCCCTGGCTATGAGCTACCAGCCGGCATGTTGCATGGGCAGGCGGTGGGCACCTGCATGGGCTTTGGGGCCTACCTCTCTTTCATCGAGGGCTGGGTATCAGAGGAGGAGATGCACCGTGTCCTGAAGGTAATCTCGGATTGCGAGCTCTCCCTGTACCACCCTATCATGGATGATGACAAGATGGTTTGGAAGACCCAGCTAGCGATCGTGGAAAAGCGCGGTGGCAACCTTTGTGCTCCGATTCCGAAGCCTCTTGGCTTCTCCGGTTATTTGAATGACCTGTCGGAGGAACAGCTTTACCAGAGGATGCACGAGTACAAGGACCTTGTGTCCAAGTACCCTCGTGGCGGTCGGGGTGTGGAAGAGCATTGCGTGGACGTGGGCTTGGAGGACCCGCAAGCAAAGAAGCTGCAAAAGAAGGCGGAGGCGGAGGCTGGTCAGGCCGCCGTCGTTGCTGGGAAGCTCGAGCTTCTGGAGCAGCTGAGACATGAGGGGCTGATCAATGCAGAACAGTTCGAGCTCAAGCACCAACAGCTTGCATAGCTAGCCCCCACAGGGCTGTGCATGTCTAAGTATGGCTTCTGCATTTTTCTCCTGCGTGGCTGATTGGCCGCGTGCTGGGCATCTTGAATGTCGCGCCTCTGCGGCCAAAGTGACCATGCCCCGCAAGAATACCTTGACTTTGTTTTCACAATACGGCAGCACATAGCTTTGCTTCTAGTTGCTGGTTCTTCAGCGAGAGAACGTAATAACAAGCAATTCGACCAGCTCGTGCATTGCAACCTCTACATGAGTAGTACTTCAACAAGGAATCCGGGATCTTCTAGAGAGTATGGCTTGAATACCAAGATGAAAAGCAACTTTTCGTTTCAGTTGTTGACCACAACGCGTATGCTTAGATGCCCTCCCTGCTCATATGCGAGAACTTACAGGATATGTGTCTTGATTAAATCGCAGTCCAGGGCTTTACTTCCAAGTCAGGCCCATGCATTTGCCAGTCACGCTTAAGAACCGGCATCTTTTCACTTCAGCGGTGTCGATTTTCATGCGTCGTGGTGCTCCTGCACCAAATCAGCGTGGAGATGCCTCTTGGCTCTAGCTGCCCACGCATTTCCTACTGGTTCTTGAGGGGGTGTGGGGAGTCATCTGCCGAAATTTTCATCCAGACTATGACGATGTTCGCGGCTGCAATCAGGAGGTATGATGTTCTTATCCATCGTTCAAGTCTGGGCAGCTGTCCCATCAACGGGTTCACCACTCCGCCCAGCTGCTGCTTAAGAACTAGTGGGGGACCGCTCCAACGGTATCTGGGTTGTTAAGCCCCAGCTCATCACAGCAGTTCTCAGTTGCGCCAGGAGTAAGAAGAAAAGGTGGTACAAAAGCAGGACATGCACACTCAGCGAGAGGAAGAATTTTGCTGTTTGGCTTATCATTGCCACCACCACCGCCGCCGTCGCCACCAGCACCAGCAGCTGCATCATCATCATCATCATCATCATCATCATCATGGCCCGTGTGACTAGTGCACACCACCGCCGCCGCCACCGCCAGCACCGCTACTCCTGCCATTAATCACGAGATTTTGCCAGGACTGCTACGCCGAATGCTTAAAATACTGCGACCAGTACTATTATGACTTCTCCGATTACAACAACTACTGCTACCCCTGCTGCTAGTACTGCTATGATTACTGCTACTAGTAGTAGTGGATAGGACCCACTGGCTACTCTTTCTCTTACCGCAACATCGACTACTACTTAATGCTTTTTCTGCTCCTCCTGGTATGTCTTGAGCACCGGGAATCGCTTCTCCTTCGTCTTCATGTCATGCACAGGATGTTTCTTCTTGTAGCCGCGCGTTTATACATCTGTATTCCCTCGCAAGATCCTTATCATCCGTGATGTTACTGTCAGCTATAGCTGGCTTTACCCTGGCAATCATCACTGTGGGCTCAGCGGAGTCGGTGATGGGCGTAGCAGTAGACGTCTAGGGTGTAAAGACCTTGCGTGCATAGGCCCTTCTAAGCTGGTGCGTTTCAGAAGTTGTAGATCCCAAACAGGGGGTACGTATGACTGGGATCCTAGTGTTTCTGGTGTGCTTTGGATCTCTAAGACCTGGCCATACACATGACAGGATCCTCATTTGCAGAGGCGTCAGGCACGCAGTCTACCATTGTAGTTAACCTTCTTGCTTCGGTCATGATGTTGTTATGTTGCAGAGTAGTGTTATTATTGTCATCAGCCGCTAGAAGAAGATGATTCATGGTTTCCGCCCAAAATCATGCAACGAGACAAGAACCCAGCCATGAGGAGCAATTTTGATCATCCTTGACAGGTACAGCCCCGAAACCTCAACTCTGAGCTCAATCTGTCAAGATGGGCGATAGCACTCGACCGTGATTCTTTGGAAAGAGCAACTTGCTATTGGATAGTCTTACCGGTGCTCGAGAGGGAGTGGGGGTGATAATGCAGCTACAAGAGGGGGCTTTGTAGGAAGCATTGCATGGGTCCTCTCTGACACGCTCCCTGAAGCTGCAGTAAGTAGTAGACTTATGGCAGATTCCGGCAGATACCCTGCACCCGCGGCATGCCCAAAGTACCGTGCACCTCAAAATGCCTAAACCTCACATCGCCTGACCCCCTCATACTCCCCCCGGTAAAAGTGTTGATTCCAAAATCTCTCAGCCCTACAATTCCAAACCCTAAACCCTAACCTGAGCACTATACCCCCAAACCTTAAATCCTCAGCTCTAAACCTGGACTCTACACTTATCTGACTGCCTAGGGTTGCGTGGGCATCGATGAGCCTGTGGAGGGCATTATCCAAGTGCCCTTGCTTCCCTGGCAGGCGAGTTGATGTGAATTTTTCCCAACATGGTAGCTTCTTGATTGTGAGACCACACTAGATATGCGGGGTTCTATAGGAGGACTTGATGCTTTCATGGCGGGAAAGCTCAACGTGCGTTTGCTTGCTTGTTTGTTTTAGGCTGGTTCCCTCCCAAGCATCTGAGATCAACTTGACATTGCCAGATGTAGGACTGTCACTGAGGATTCGTCAACACAACGGATAGTCCCATAAAGCCAGATGGTCATAACCAGAGTCCAGCTTGTGTCCACAGAATGGCAGTCGACATGGTTTGCGCCTGTGGTTGGATGCGCGGCATTATGCAAACCAAGCAAGACCAAATCAAGAATCTTTCCTTGGGGCACTTCATAGGATTTCTTCACCCACGCTTCCTACTCTACCCCCTAACAGCATTAATAATTAACTCTACATAACTCTAATTAGGGGTTTGTGTAGACTTCTTTCTTGAAGCGTGCTGTGTTGCACCATTGGACTTTCGGAGCAGGTGCTTGCTCTCAAAGGTTCTCGAAAGCTTGAGAAGCCGCAATACTCTTTGAGAGCCCTCCATTGGCTTTCACATCCCTTGCTTATCCTTCAACGGTTGTGTGGAACCCACCAACTAGGTCCTACGATGCAACCTGAATCAACCTGAGACAACTGCAGACAGCCCTAAATTTCCTAAAGCCAACCCACAGACCCAAAACACCAGCCGCTAAGCCATTAACCTCCGACCGCTTCGAGACCCTGAAGCCCCAGAATTCTACAGCCAACCTCCCACAGAGGATGCACAGGGACGCGATGTCGGCTCTTTGGCATGTGCTCAGGACCGGCCACAGAGAATGATTTTCAATGCTGGAGAAGCAGACGAAAAAGAGCATGGACTGTGAAATGGAAACGGGGTTTATACAGGTGTTCCCCCCTAAAAACTTGATTCTAATCAACTGGGCTCGTACACTATCATCCCGTGGTAACACCGAAATAATCCCAGTTTCCATTTCCATTCGATTCTCTATCATTCATTTTTGTTGCCAGACGCTCTAATTCAGCTTCCATGTCATCTTCCGTTTGATTCTCCATTGTCCCAATTACTTAGGCCCCTGCAGCAGGGCTGCAACCTTGAGGTTCAGGGTGGAGGAGTAAGTAATGGAGGAAGTGACAAGAAAATGCGCGCTGGACCTCGGGGTAGGGATGCCGAATTCCTGAATCCGACGACTTAAAAGCCTTAAATCCTCATCTCCACGCTCTGTGTTTTCGTCATTTGAAGCCTCAAGCCCGGGATCCTGAAGACTGACAGTTTTGCGCAAGGGTTGTTTGGTCTCAGGGCCTGGACGCAGGGCTGAATGCAAGGCTTTGGCCAATTGAAATTCTTGGGCCACAGCTCGAGTTTTCATTTTCCTCGCGCGTTATTGCAGAGAGCTTTCTTCAGATTGAAGCGCTGGATTGTGGTACAGGTCACTGGACGTATCAATGCGTTTGTTGGCTATTGTGCAGAGGCTCTTGTGGCCGATGGTTCCCGCCCGCCCCTTGTGATGGGGAGCTCTTGCCAAGCGCAATGGCTTTTTGTGGGTCCAGATGCCTTTGTTGATTCTAGTTTGGTGTAGACATCCAATCCTTGCTGCTTCCCTGTCTAGACCTTCTACTAACTAGTTCTGCATGGTGAGGCTGCCTAGAATGAGGTAGGTGGTTTTAGGATCCAGCATGTTGCTGATGATAATGTGCGAGCCTCTCAGAATTGGGTTTTGGAGGGTTCGAACCTTAAGCCCAACTCAAGATCATGTATGAGTTCCGTACACAGCAGAAGGCAGACCCTTCGTTGGAACATACACTCAAGCAGCCTTTGGAACTTAAATAGCTACAAGGACAGCCATATTATAGGCTACATCTTTAGGCCACCTAATAATGGGCACGAGCTTTTTGCAAAGCACGTTTTTCAGGGGTAGCCAGTAGCGGCTAGCGTGTTGAGCTTGAGGAGGGCCTTCCTGCCACGAGCAGCTACCGCGTCCTGGGCAGGCCGAGTCCCTTTGCGCCTAAACCCAAATCTCTGTTCAATAGCACGCTTGATCCCACAGCCTTGCTAAATAAGTTGGGTGTGAGCACGTAGTCGCACGAATCAGAGCAGTTCGGGATGCGGGCAGGCTGTGTGACGACTGGAATTGTGATGTTTTCTATTAGTACAGGCGAATTCTCAGCAAGAGGTCAGGGCTTTGCTTCTATAATTCAACGTTTACTTTTGCTGGCTAGTTCGGGGAATGGGTTTTTCTCTTTCGAATCGGTGGGTCAAACCCATAATTAGCCCGGACGTGTTTTCAAGAAACTCTTTTGAAGTTTCAAGACTTCGTGTAGATGCGTCCTGTGCAGTGGAGTGGAGCTTCAATTGTACTTCTCTCCAGCGTAAACCAGCCTTAACCTGAAACTGTATTGAAGGCTCGTGGGTACCAAAAAGTGGGCATATTGGTTGGATAGCAATATAGACTTGCCAGCAGATATACAAGCCCTAAACCCATAACCCCAAAAACCTACTTCTGAGCCTTCAAGTACATCCCATACATCCGCGGGCCTTCATGATGACTTCAGGTGGTATGTACCCTGTGCCGGCGCCTAGCGCCCAGTCGGAATCTCCATGCTCATTACTGAAGACGCCTAACCAAGGGGTATGGGGTATTCAGTAGCTAACAGGAAGGTTTCAACGGTTTCGAGGG